TCAGTTTTTTTAACCGTCTCTGGTTCATTTTTCCCAAAACGACATCAATGTCGCCTGCATAACTAAGTATTCTTGTAGTTTCTACTATAACACACTCTTTTTTTTTTCAAATTTCTTATAATTTTCTCAAGCGCCAAGTTGGAAATAAGTGGGAACAGCATCACCTTGCTTTGAACCAAATGTTTTTCGAAATGGATCTGACTTTCTGCCTTTATATGCTACTTTAATATAAGTGTCTTACATACATTGTTTCGTCATTGTGATTAACTTCTTTGGTTTTCCAAAGTTCATCATAGCATCCCGTACACCGTTTCTATGTAGACGTTTATGTGCCGTTTTAAAATCTACAAAAAACATTATGTACACCTCTACTATGTTCCCGGTTTTGCTTTGCTATTTGTCGCAAAGGGATATTTGATTCTCTGTTGAAAACCCGCTTGTTAATCAACCAATATGTCTTCGACATATAAATTTAGCTGGTTATAACAGTACCGCCGACAGTATTATATAACTTGTAGATAATAGTGATGTTCCTCTATGATTTTCACATTTATACTTGTCTGAGTTCTTTAAAATGGGTATTAATAATGGCTCTTTCCACTCTTGAGGTAATTTATCCGTAATTCAAACTAGTTTCAAAAATTCATATATCTTAAAATGTAATGCGTGATCACCTTCGTTTGTAAGAAGTTGCACTAGAGACACCTCCTGTGAATCCATGCGATTCCTCTTGGATTTCCCCACAATGATAAACAGAATCAAGCTATCCAGGGCTGTTGCTTTTCTCAAAGTAAAATCAGACCATCGACACCCACTGCATGAGGAATTATTCAAGCAAAAAATGAGTAGACTCAACGAGGCAAATCCTGGATGAGTCGAGCTGAGGTTCCCATCGAACATGTTTGCCGCCTTACTGACAATAAGTTTGGAAATGAATGAAAAATTATGACCCCTCTTCAAACAATAATATTACAGTCCATATCACACTTGATGGAAGCTGTAGAAAGCAGATTCCTGACATTTTTGACACATTAGTCAGAACACTGATTGATGAAAACACAGATAAAGGCGATTCTATAGTTTACACAAATGGGTGAGTAATTAGGGGCAAGCGAAGTGCATGGGCCTTCACAGTTAGCTCAAGGGGGAAAACCACCAAGAAGATGAATGGCGCCTTTGCTGTTACAACTAGTAGCCTTACTATGGAAACTATGGCTGTAACAATGGCTTTTGTATGGCTTGGAACTCCAAAGTTCACACATGTACGCTTTCTTAGTGGTTCGATGAATTTGCTAATAAAAAGTCAAGCTGGATTTATCAGGCAAGAATGGATTGAAACACTAAGCACTTCACGAATTTCTGCCCTAACCTTCATCTTTGTGCTAGGTTATGTGGAAGTTCTTAATTATATCCAATTTTGTCCTTTTTAGGACGAAATTTTTTGTCATTTGAAGCCCTGCTCTGGCTTTTGCCAGGGGCCGCAATATAGGCAGGCCATACATATGGCCAAATGTTTGAACGCGGTTTCTGGGACCTCTCCACGGCGATCCTCATCCACATGGTGGCACTTTGTGTCATCGGGTGTTTATCGCTTGTGTGATGTCCTGGTGGGGTAGAAAGTCAGTCAGTCAGGTTATGTGGGTGTTTTAGGGAATGTGCGTGTAGACTATCTTGCTGACACAGCAGTTGCTATGGCTGGCCCAGTACTAGACAGAAGTGATGTTATCAGTGCCATGCACTGCACTTACCGTGTCGGGGAACACGCCTAATTGGAAATATAAATATATGGGTGTGTGTGTCTGTGTGTGTGTGTGTGTGTGTGTGGATGTGAGAGACGTGTGACTAAGCAAGGCGTTGATTGAAAAAAAAAATTATTATTTTACCACCGTACATCTCCACCTCGCAGAGTGTCAAGATTCTCAAGCCACGATCGTAATATTTGGCAGCAATTGTGACGCCTAATATTGGTATCTGTGGATAATCAGACAGGACTGTGTAGAGGCTTTGTTCAGTGTTGGTCGGCTCGGTGTAAGTAAATGCTGCATTTCCGTTTCGTTGAGTAGTTTCTAGAAAAAATCCTTGAAGTCTATTTTGTAGAACTGAAACATCACAAAAAGTAAATTTTTTATTATACTACAGCAGAAGATCTGTAACAGTTTTTTGTATACACAAACACACATGCTCACACACACACACACACACATACATAGCCAAAAAAAGAGTTTAGAGGCAACTAACTGTCAATGAGCAAAGATAAAGTCTTATAAAGGTATACATTTTTTTTTGGGGGGGGGGGTGGGGGGGGGGGGGGGTTAAAATAAATCCCTAACCTGGATCAACATACTTGTTTTGCGTTCCTTTTACTCTTTCATGCCCTCAAGGAAAACAGTTTGCGAAATGTTAAGCTCTCCTGTTACTGTATAGTGAATGTCATCGATGTTTTGAGCGGAAAAAAACACAAAAAACTTTCAAAGTAGGTGAAATAAGGCCATCGTATAATTTCTCTAAAACGTTAATCTTTTCCGATAATGCAGATACTTTTTTGTTTGTATTGCGTAGTCAAGATGGGAGGGGGAAATATCGCGCAGTTTTCCTAAAGAATTTGGTTACAATAGCACAAGCCCTTTGCTTACTTGTAGTCAAGCAATCAGCATTCATTTGTAAAATAGCACGACTTTCTTTTATCTGCAGATGAACAGATTAGTCATGTCTGGTAGCTGGTATAACTACTTTTGACTATGTTTTCCCCAGCTTTATGTGCAGATGAACAGATTAGTCATGTCTGGTAGCTGGTATGACTACTTTTGACTATGTTTTCCCCAGCTTTCTTTTGTCTCGAAAGGAAGCCTGTACACATGTTTGTCATCTGTCACTACATCGTGTTTGCTACATCTGTTTGTGTTTGTTAAGTGTTATTATATTTAATCATCCAGGAACAGATTCTGTTCTTTGTTTGTTACAGATGTATTGACGTTGGTAGTGATGCATTGACATTATCATTGTGACAGGTGTATTGTGTTTGTTCCATGTGTTTTGTGCTTTTTTTTCTCCATGTGTGTTGTATTTGTTACATGTATATCAAGTAGTCTGTAGTGTGTTTGTTATCCGCCTATCAAGTTTCTTGCATGTATTATTTTTTTTACAGGTATACTGAGTTTATTACATGAATTATGTGTATAGCAGATGAGCACTGAGTCTGTTAACGCATAACAATAGTCGGTACTACTTGTTTTCTATAAACATCGAATTTGGGGCAATGCATCCCAAACCTGGCACACCATATTTGCCAATGGCTTCGGGAGAGGGAGGGCATTAAAGAGGATATTAGCCTTATCCTGTGAAGAGGAAATGCAGCCTGAAATCTTTATGATACGGTAGGGCGGTCTTTACTTATATATATATATATATATATATATATATATATATATATATATATATATATATATATATATATATATATATATATATAATATATATATATATATATATATATACATACACACTGTTTATAGTAGAAACAACATTGCAGATATCATCAGTTCTTCTGAAGTATGGAAAGGAGGCAGTTACAGATGGTATTCCAGAAGAAGTTATTACGGTCAATGTAGAATAAAACGTCAACAGAATTGCTACTGAAATTATTAAGTAAAGCCTAAGATACAAAGCGAAGAAATACCAGTGGACTGGAGAGGATACATAATAAAAAATCCCCCCAAAAATGTGATCTAAAAAAGTGTGAAATCTCTAGAGGAACTATTTTGCTGTCAGTTCCTGGAAAAATATTCAGTGGGATTATTTAAAAAAAATATTAAGATGGTATTGATAAAAAGCTAGGAGATAAACAGGTAGGTTTTCGGCCAAACAGATCCTCCCCAGACCAGGTACCCACGTTACGTATAATAATATAGCAAAGCATTGAAAAGAATTCAAAACTTTATATGGGATTTATGGACTATGAAAAAGCTTTTGATAGCATTAAAACTTTTTTTTTTTTGGGGGGGGGGGGGGAATTAAGGGGCACTATGGGATCTCATAGAAAATTAATAACTTTAGCTAAGCTACATATAAAGACATAATATCGAGTTCTTCATGAGGGACAGCTGACAGACATTTGAAATGAGAATAGGTGTGCGACCTAAAGTTTCGTTCAAATAACTCTTGTTTATATTCTCCTACTATATATACTGTACTTACATTTAGAAAGTGAGGTACTCCTGTCGTTTCCGATAAAGCAACGGTTTTTTTTTTTACACACACAAATACAAACGCGTCCGCATACACACAGTCAATATACATCGCCCTACGCAAACACACACACACACACACTTTTTTTACAAACATTACAGTCAGGTTAACTCACTGTTTCTGTTGAATAAGAGGTATCTGTTTACGACATGTGGCCATCCAAAAGTCAGTGTCCACGTTGGGGCGACATGGTCCGCAGTATGGGCACAACTGTTATCCTCAAATACGGGATCTCTATCCCCGTCTACAGCAAGCGAAGAATAATGATAATCGTAGGTAGATGTTTGTTTCGTGTTTTGTCCCAGCGCAACATTGCGTCCTGTAAATAGTTTTCATGATTTATTCACACTCACTAGTCTATGAAACACACTGTGTCAGCTGGGTTAGAAAAACTATGAGGCCATATATATATATAAAACCAAGTAAGATTCGATGCACTCCGGACAGATCCATGGAGGCTTAGCTCTCCTCCTCAAAAGCTTTATTGGTGTAAGATGACTTATGACGCTTGTTCTGTGTTGGTTAATAAAATGTCTTGTGCCCTTTGTGTTCATTTCTTGAAGCTCCAGACTGCATCACTCATATCCAGCTTCGTAGACATGGATACGGAGTCATGCTCTTTGGCGTAAACGTCTTTACGGTAAGCGCTGCGCACAGGAATGATAGCACTTCTGTCCAGTACCGGACCAGCCATAGCAACCACACTATCAGCAAGATAATCTGCACGCTCGTTCCGTTCAACACCGAAAATAATCTGTCACAAAGATGAAGGGTATGGCAACCATTTACGAGGCGCTTAGTGTTGCCTGATAAAACCAGCTAGGATTTTTTAAGCATATTTATCGAGTCACTAAGAAAGCATGCGTGTGTGAACTTTTGAGTACCAAGCCATGCTAAAGCCCTTGTTACAGCCATAGTTTCCATTGTAAGGCTACTAGTTGTAACAGCTATGGAGCCATTCATCTCCTTGATGGTTTTCCCCTTTGAGCTTACTGTGAAGGCCTATGCGCTTTGCTTGCCCCTAATTACTGTCCCATTTGTATAAACTACAGCATCCCCTTCATCTGTGTTTTCGTCAATCAATGCTCTGACTAATGTGTCAACAATGCCAGGAATCTGCTCTCTACAACTTCCATCAAGTGTGATATGGACTGTAATATTAATGTTTGGAGAGGGGTCATAATTATCCATTCATTTCCAATATATTGTCAGTAAGGCGGCAAACATGTTCGATGGCATCCTCAGCTCGACCCATCCAGGATTTGCCTCGTTTAAGTCTACTCTTTTTTTTTTTTTTTTTTTGCTTGAATAATTCCTCATAAAGTGGGTGTTGATGGTCTGATTTCACTTTGAGAAAAGCAACAGCCCTGGATAGCTTGATTCTGTTTTCCATTGTGGGGAAATCCAAGAGGTATCGCATGGATTCACAGGAGGTGTCTCTAGTGCATCCAAGAATATTGCGCATCGCCTCGTTTAAAATTTTTTCCAGTCTGTTTATCTGTGTGGTGCTGAGTGTCATAATGGCCAAGGCATATTTAATGATGGAGAGAACTAATGCACGAAGCGACATTACAGGTAGCTGTTGCGGCATTTTCCAGATCTATGGCGACTACACATGTATCACAGCCAGCTTGAAAACCTTCATGTGTGTCCTGTGCAAAGGCTGCAGCATTACGCTATGTCTCTGTGTTTTGTGTGTATCCTCCAAGTGTGGGTGGGGGGGGGGGGAGAGAGGGGGAGGGGGTAGCAGCTGATGTAATTCAAGCTGGCGTACCAGTCTTCCTACTTTTATCTTTCTACTGTTTTTGCCCAGTGTGTACTGAATCGTAATGATTTTATAGACATTTATGTCTTTGTCAGGTTTTCTAGCAGAATCAAATAGCTATGCAGCCAGCTTTCTGTGATAGTGCCAATACAGCTGCTGCCATTGTAGGCTTTACATAGTTTCTCCGTTGATGTTGAGGGCAGCTTGGCAATGTCTTCAAAGTGATGCCATCAAGACCAGGAGCCGACTTCTTTGATGTTTTGATTATGTTCCTTTTTTTCGGCGACTGTAATTACCTGATCATCTTTAATGTCTGTGGCGGCACATTTGGCAGCGAGCATGTCCATGGTCGTCTGACGGGTGGCAGTGCCATGCGTGCAGCTTTGCTTGAGGTATCTGTCAACGAGTGCTCTTCCGTTCTTTTCATCAAACCTGTTCCATGTTTGGTCTCCATTACGCAAGTCTCTGATGCCTCGGCTCTGGAGGTACCTGTCATAGCTGTCACAGACCTCTGGGTGACCTTGCTGGTCGGTGGCTCGTAATTGGGCCTATGACAGACAAACTAACCTTTGACACACTGTCATGGAATGAACAGCCACCATACACATTGGACGAGTCGGGACGTGATATCCCTCGCGCTCAGCAAAATTTCAAACTTAGACCCGTCCGGAAAGGTATATAGTCCCTTTTATTGATCTATACCTTTATCTGGTAATATAGTAATTTCTGGACCCTCTAGTTGCTTTGATATATCTTCATTTTCAAACTTGCAACTGTAGATTGGGTAATTCTGGTGTTTTATTTGAAAATTCATGGAAACCGGTTTACTTCTTGGTCATTAATACAAGGAACTTCTTTCCTAGTGACGCGGGTTTGATTTTGAGAACGCTATTCTTTTGTCTGATCCCAAAGTGTCAAGACGTATATCCAATTTTAATAGAATTTGGCGCATTCTTGGTTTAAGTTCTAACTTGGAAGATTTCCTAAGCTTGGGAGGAGACCTCTGTAGAAATCAGGCAGACGAATCACAGTCCAGCCAACAACCACCAACCCATACCATTCTAGGCACCAAGCAGAACCTAGAAGTCCTGCCCGCTTTGCCACTACCTCAACATGGCAAGAACGTGTGTGTGTGAGCTCTAGGACGAGTGGACCTTTACAGACATTGGTGTCCTCAACCTAGTGAACCAGTCTTCAAGAGCTTGGTTGAGCTCTGAGGCAGTTTTGTGACCCGACCTGTGAGAGAGACTTTGTGAGTCCCTGTGCAGTTCCGGTGTCCTGGATGTGGAGGTAAACTGGTACCAGATCAACTAGAGACATAGATACCTGAGTCAACTATAGTCGAATCACCATGGACTGAGGAGAACATTGATCTACGAACTGGGTTAAGTTATAGATGTATCACCATTATGCTCTTTTCCCACAGCTCCTCATAGTTCCTAGGATGCGTCCATGAATTCATCAGGACCATATCTGGCTGCTTCAATGTCTGGGTCGTGTCACTGAGTCCTGAGTCTATGAACATTCTTGAGAATCTATTCTTTAATACATGTGTACATATTTTATACTTATTACATATATTCATTTTCATGGATGACTTGGGTGTCCCTGTTTCCCCTTTCTAACTGTTTAGCATTGAATTGTGTGAGTAATAAGTGTCATCTGTGTTAACATGGTTATGATAGTAAACTATCATACCTGGGGGCTATCCTTTTATAGTAGTGCCTAGGAATATTATATATATATATATATATATATATATATATATATATATATATATATATATATATATGTATATATATATTATAGTGCCAAAACTTGAGTTGCACTACTCCAGAAATAAGTTGAGCGTATATTGGCCACGGGGCATCCCTTAGACCAATACGAGCCAACGAGTCAACATAATTATTTCTGAGTGCTGTTGGTTCTTAAGGAGAAATCCTTAAATCAGGCACGCAAGAGTGATATGTGACACACACACTAAACCCGAACGCACACAGAGCACACACGACAATCTTTATTGTAAGTACAGGTAATACAATAGACAGTTGACTTCCCGCTGTGTGGCCACCTATTGCCTGGACCCTCTGGCCAAACGAGCTTTACAATCGCCTCGCTCTCTAGTCCGTTCCACAAGCAATCTCCTGGTGCACAAACCACAGCTAGGCGAGATACCTACCAAGATGTCACCGCCTCTGTCTAGTGCAGGGTCAGCGTGACAAGATTAGACATTCTCTCACAGAACATGTACCTAACCGATTCAACTGGTCAGAAGTATCTGGACACTAGTTACCTATTGCGGCACAACGCAATACCTTGTATCAGTCAAATACACAGCACAAAAGACTATCCTATTCTAACAGAACACTGTAAGTAATCTATGCAGTCACTAAAGAAATATCCTAACTCTAATATTCTATCACTGTCTCGCTAACACATCTACTCCGTCTGAACGCTGTACACTCAATCCCCTGTGTTCTTTCACCTCGTGTCTTTTGACCCGTTCACCTGCCCCTGGGGTAATCGTGTTGCGAACTTGTCTGCAACAGAGTTCACTCTTTACCGTCCTCCTCAATTGGTCTCCACTGAGCGATAGTTTCACCGTGAACGGCACAGACTAGGCCAGTCATGCCATTGACCTTTGTGTCAACCCTGAGGTGTCCCCTGAACACGTACACCCTACGTTGTGGTCCATTCCGCCCGATGACTGCACTCACTGGGTGGTGACAATAGCCTTGTGTATGGACCAGAATTTTCGCACACTTCATGGAAAATAAGTTCTTAGGTTGCGTCCTTGGCTTGCTTTGAAACTGATTTAACGGTGCTGTTGTGGTCTGCATGGTCTGTTTGTATTCCCGCAAAAGATACAGAGTAGAGTAAGTGGATTTCATTGCTTTCGGCCATGTATTTTGGTTCAAACTCATCATTCCACCACATTTGCTGTTGCAGCTGTATTTTTTTTTACGGCCTACACAGTGATAAGGTTTGATTTTACTAAGCTTGATGAAATCATTTTTTTTTTCTGTGTGTATTTAAAAGGGTTTGAATTGATTCTATGATGTGTGTTAACACCCTTTTTTTTTGATAGAATGACACAGGACAGTGGTCGCTGCCATGATTGCCTCGTGCATACCAACTGCAGTGTGAAGTGAGAACAGGTGAAACTAAAGCCAAGTCAAGCACGCTGTCTTTTTCTTCTGGTTGATGGGCCATTCTGGTGATTCTTCCATCGTTTAGGCAGACTAAGTCCATTTCTACCATGGCATCCTCCGAATCACTCCCTTGTTGTTTGTGGAACTATTGCCCCATAGGTAACCTCTATCGTTAAAATCACCATAGAAAACTACATTCCCTTCTGTTTGTATTATTTCTTGAAGGTACATCCACTTTTCTCCTTGCTTTACCATTACACGCATAGACATTAACCTGATTGAAAGACCGTGTCGCACGTATTGTAACAGCTTGTAACTGGAGGCTGGCATTTTGCCATCTGGACATGTCAACTTCATATGTATGATGAGAATAACCTGTCAACAGTGTAGATTGTTTAGAAACGCACGAACATTCCCCCCCCCCCCCCCCCCCACCTTCCATTACATTTAAAAGCAATATCCCTACAACCACCCAGAGAGAGCAACCTCAGGAAGTGTTTTAACAACTTAAATTACAACCTTTAAATATGACATCCCCTGTGGATTCCGGTGTTCCATTGCGGGGAAAAACAAGAGTAGACCCCCGTCTTCGTCATGTGGATAAGAATAATGGGAGCAAGTCCCTAATACCCGCTCAATTCATAGGTTATACTTATGGCAGCCAATGACAGCCGGGGCGGCCTTTAAACTAAAATATTGCGTCCTATACCGGTGCGAAGACTAATCAGGGATATACGTTACGCAGTGTACTGTGCTGACATTCTTGTTACTTAAACATATAGATTTGAGATATTGATATGCAACAATTAACCCCCCCCCCTCCCCCCCCCCAAAAAAAAAAATAATCTAATTTCACAGTCATAATAATTTTTTGAAGAATTATATCAACATAATAATTACACAAAACGTTGTTAAATATACTCACGTGAATTATGTACATGAGTAATGATGCTCTTTTGTACTTACCTCCACTTACGTACACTGTGCACAAAGATTTGACGCCATTCCCGCTAATAACTATGTCCTCAAAAAATGCACCTGGTAGGCAATGAATATCCAGTGTTGTATCATCGATCTTGGATGTGTACATGTTGTTACATGTTGTAACGATCTGGTTTGTGAGCATTAGTTGAACTTTGAAGTCTTGTGAACTCACTTGGTCTATATAAATACAAACGTGAGAAAAAACAAAATGCAACGAATGTCAGGTATTTGTAAATGAATACGAAATGCGACGATTCTACGGCATGCACACACAAACACGTGCACATACACACACATACACGCGAATATACATACATCGATGCATAAACGCACGCATTCATACATGCATACTTTTAAAGATGCATGCATATATTTGTGCATATATGCGTATATACATGCGTGAATGCATCCATGAACCAATGCATTCATACATAAACATATATGCGTATATACATACATGACTTGTCCTGCCACTAGATCCAGTGGAACACAGGCGAGAGAATAAGGTGTGCGAAATTGTACATGCCATCAGAGTTGAGTTTACTTTAAAGGATCTACATTACAGCACTCAGGAGATTCCCACAAGTGCTTCGTCTCCATCGTCAACAGCCAACGAAGAAATCAAACTTCGATGGTGCCACTAGTAGTCTGACTTTATGTCGCCTTGACTTTCCTCTGAGTGTGGAATATCGGCCGGATCTTTGATTATTACCAGTTGAACCATTCTATTCAAATCCTAATAATCTAATTGTGCCTATGCACTGTTCACTCGCGTGTGGGTTCCGGGGCCCCTTTATATCGGAAAAACAAGAATCCACCCATTTCCAAAAGCATGTCGTAAGAGTCTACTAATTAGGAGATTGTTTTGGAGTCAAAGATCATCTGCCTGTTAAAACTATAAATGGTGGTCCGAAGGACGTTATGTTGTATATCCAATTTCGTCCTTTTTAGGATGACATTTTTCGTTATTTGCCAGGGGCCGCAATATAGGCAGGACATAAATATGGCCAATTGTCTGAACGCGGTTTCTGGGACCTCTCTACAGCGATCCTCATCCACATGGTGACACTTTGTGTCATCGGGTGTTTATCGCTTGTGTGATGTCCTAGTGGGTTAGAAAGTCAGTCAGTCAGTCAGACGTTATGTTGAGAAGCCCGCTTCCCTACGCTTCCTGGCCAAATCAGAAGAAGCTGCAACAAGGAAGACACATCAGAGAAGAAAAATCAAGAACACAGTTAACAACAGGATAGGGAATGAGCTAGCTGACATGGAGTAAAAAAGCATTAAGCCCAGAGACAGGGCAAATAACAGAACTTTAGCCACGAAATTGGTGCAAATAAACAAGACCACAAATACAGCCGGAGACTGTTGTCAATTTCGGCTAGCTAACAGCAGGTTAAACGTGGTTGAGTTTTTGGTTTGTCTCAAAAAGGAATTGGAATTGGAACAGATGAGTCAGATCTGTCAAACAGATGCAAACTCAACTCCAAGATTCTGAAACAGGGCTGCATTCCATAAGTGGATGAACTATAGCTTTCCAGCAGGTTTACAGCCAGTAAACGCGAAGAAGAAAAAGATTCCTTAAGAAACCACAGAGTGGTGCATACCCAGCCACTCTGTCTGCCTGTTCATTTCCCTACACGCATACAAAGAAAATATCAAAATGACACTAACAGCGCTACACATCTAAAGCGTTCGTGCTACTCTGTATAGAGAACACTTATCTCCACTTAAGCAGCATGCTTCGCAAGTCAGTAGCCATCAAACAGTATGTGCAGCTGAATCTCAGGTCAACGAAAGGCTGCAGTGACCGCCTTCGCCTCCGTTCCCAAACTAGATTTTGTGATATTATATGACAGACTTTTTTGCGTCAAGGGTCGTCTATTTACTTTAGCTAAGAACCCACAGGCACTTCGTCTACATCTAAACACAGAGCCATCGGTATAGATAATTACATCATCTGACTAGGAATTGTCACAAATCGTTTGTTGAATGTCTGATTCTGTAGCTCCTACATGCCAGTCCTTGCACTCACGACCTAGTGTAATTAGAGCCTTACAAGAGTCTGACTGGTGCTCTGCCACTCTCACCCACTCCTCTCCTCGCCAAATATTTTTAAATATGGTCACATGACTTATTGAATCTTCTGCTTGCGGAATCCAAGACCTTCTCTTTTCAATATGTGATCCTTAGCTTTGTCTAGGGCTTCATGCAAGAGGTGCTTCCCTGCCCTTGCTGTTTTATATCCTTCAGGGCCAGTATTGGGCTTATAAGTCACCTCCAAACTCACAATCAACTAGAGGATGGAGGAACAACAAGCAAAACAACAACAAAAATCTCTTTTAAAAAATGTTTTAAACAATTTGGTCTATATTTCTTTTCAATATACACCAAATGCACATACTTTATCTGCTGTGCTTTAATTTACCTTAATTGGTTTTGTGTCTTTTTCATTTGTTTCAATTCCTCGTTTCGGATACGTGGCTTTAATTAGTTGTCCTTATAATTTTGAATTTGCTCCACCTCTCTATCCCAGCTCTAGCCTTCAGCTTTCAAATGAATTTTAATGTAATTTTCAATAAATAAAAAATATGAACAAAACTAAAAGACTAATAATACAAATGCTAAAACGTTGGTTTTTTTTTGCAATCCACCCCTCCTCCTATCCTCATCCTCTTCCTCATCCTTCCTCTCCTCCTCAACCTCCTCATCCCCTCCTCTTCTATTAAATATTCTGTATATTTTTGCGAGCCTGTATGCTACAATTAGATCTGTCGACAAGAATACGCTGGTGCTAAGTGCCACACAGAAAGCGCTACTGAAAAACAACACGTTTAATGGATACAGCGCAAGGTTAGAAATACGCTGACGATTGGACAAAGGCATCAAGATGAGCCTTACAGAAAGGAAGATCAGCTAATACGGCACATCGTAAGAAGCACCAAGCAGACCACTATATCTGCCTCAACACTTCAGTGCGGGAGAAGTAGAAAGCCAGGGACTCCAAACTTGATAAGCTAAACATGTACCGAGACTACACTGTAGTTAGACCACCTTCACTCAACACCTTTAATCATTAATGCGAACAGACAGTTTTGTACTTAGATTCTAACCCACCTGCAACATTAGCATGTAGTCTGAGCCAGGTAAAATAGAATGTACTTGTCAAGGAAATTGTAACCGTCTCCTGATCTGGATTACAGTTGGTGTCTGGACGGTCATAAACCCAAGATGGCGTTGGCGATTTCGAATATGTCGACACCAAATCAACTACAAGAGGAATAACAAGATCCATAAACATTATTAATGGGATTACAAAATAACGAGTTGAAAGATTACGCATGATAACATTTTTCTGTAAAAAACAAAAAACAATTGGTTTTGCTTTAACCCAAATCTAACGATTTTGTTACTTTTAATGATCAACTTTCAAACCCGAGAAAATAACGCTAGAGCACTGGAACATGAGGAGTTTAAAATTAGAACTGAGTGAATTTTTGTAACAACTGAACAGGTAACTAAGAGTTCTAAAAAGAAGAGAGTGAAGTTGGATGGGGGCAGTTATAATTGTTGGGTGACTGTTTTTTTTTGTTGAAAATCGGCCCTGCTGGCCAGTTAAAGATGTGTCGGTTAGAATGACTGATTTTTCTGCCAAAATCTAAAAGTTGTCGAAAAACACAAACAATGCAAGAATAGAACTAGGCAATGTAAAATATTCTCAGTATGAAATATCTTGTATTCTTTTTCTGCCTTTCTATCCCCCAATGGAGCATAGGCCCTCAACCAGCTCACGCTATGTCGTTCTATTCTTCGCCACTACAAGGAGCTCTCCCCATGTACTTGTTAATTTTTTTTAGTCGGGCTAGTACGCTTGCTGTGTCTGTCACGCAAAAACCTTGCATAAATTAAACCAATTTCTTTTAGAAAAAAAAAAAAAAAAAAGAGGAAAAAAAAACCACAATAAGTTTGGGCACAACTCTAAAAAATATTTACAAGTGACCTTTTTATAAGAGTTACCGATCATTGAGGAAATGCTTAGCTGTTAACTGAATTATTATCCCATTTTTTAAATTTAATTTTTTTCTTAACTATCTCCTCCTCAAAACACTTTCCCCGAAAATTGACTTCAGTGCATCTTTCAATCATCCCTGCTTTTTCAATAGGGTATAAGCGTCGACAATTTAGATATCAGTGACATCTACTGAACGTAAAGTTGCCAAAAAAAAAAAATCACAACCAATATCGTCACAGAGGCCGACCCATCATGTTCTATCCATCTCTAATTTGATGTAAATGATGTTTTCCATCTCTCCTCTATCCTACCTCCTCTGAGTGTTTGTGTCATAACCATCCTAGCCTTTAAAGATTCAGCATTGGAAAAACGGCTGTGATACATTTTCACTTAATACGTCAGCGGCTGTGATATCTTCTCACCCAATACCTTAGCAGCTGTGAAACTTTCTCACCCCACTACCTCAGAGTAGCAATACTTTTTCACTCCAATACCTCAGAAGTAGCAATGCCTTCTCACCCTAATACCTCAGCCGTTTTGATGTCTCCTCATCCCAACACCTCAGCGGTTGTGATACCTTCTAACCCCAATACCTCAGTCGTTTTAATATCTCCTCACCACAATACCTCAGCGGTAGGGATACCTTTTCACCCCAATAACACAGCGGTTGTGAAATTTTCTCACCCAATATCTCAGCGGTTGTGATACCTTCTCATCCCAATACCTCAGCGGTTGTGATACCTTCTCACCTCAACACATCAGCGTCTGTAACCTTGTATTACCAACTAATACCAATTATTCTTCGTTGACGTAAGAACTGTTTAATGGTGTCTCCGTTTATTATTAAGCTGGGTACGTGCATGGATACTTAAAAAGTGAAAGCGATATTTGCCAATGAGCAGGCATATTAAAATTGTAATAAATTAAACAACACATACCATACTGACAAGATGGACCAAACCATCCGTATTCGCACCCTGACGAACATACACCATTGTTGTCACATGCATTGTTGTAAACACAGTGGCATTTGAACCGACACGGTGTTCCGAACCAGTTACTCGTAGATCTGCATGTTGGATCTTGTAACGAAGAAATATGGAATGCAAAATATTTATAAGACAAATAACTTCCTGCCACTTAAGAATTTGAGTCTATCTCCATATATGAAGATTGGGGGGAAATACAATTTTTAACATATATATATATATATATATTATACCGTGAATTATGTTCCCATAAAGGAGAAGTGATAACAAGGTTGCTGCCAGAAAGAGAACTATTTTCCAATGGAAACGATAATATTGTTGTGCACTAGGAAGCCATGTTTTTTACCGCCTGTTACCTCTGCAAAGAGAGTGTTGTGGGTGAAGGTGAGTGTGAACTAGTCCCCAGCCTGAAGGTGGGGGGGGGGGAGGGGGGATTTATCATCCATATTACAATTTTTGTTTAATGTACTGAGTGGTCCATCTAAGCATGTTTCGACGTTCTTTTGTTAGAGTACTTGTTCACAGATTTCATATTATAATTATCACATGTATTATTATATTTATTTGCAGCTCATCAAAAAATAATAAGATTAATAATAATAAGTGAAGTATAGGCCAATCGGCACTCGAATGGTAATGTAGTCAACATTACGCCGGCCGCATTTATTTCTTGGAAATTTACTAGGCATGCATTTAAGGCTAAGTTGACCTAGGAACCAAGATCATTTAAATAAACAAAAAATAGTCAGGCCCGTCAGGACCTGAAACCACAACCTTCCGATCTACATGAGAGTATCTAGCTGCTACACCACGGTATCTCCCATAATAATTAATAATAACAGTAATACTACTAGTTGTTATTTTTATAATTGTGCACTCAAAAAAAGCATAACTCTTTGAATCCCTTATCCACTGTTTATACAGCGACTGATGATCCAACCATTTCTGTGTCTGTGCCTATACATGTAATGATGTTCTCCTTGCTCTTTCTCAAGCGTTGAACACTTGTTGGTCTTCACCTATTTAAAGCTGTTCTTGATGCCGTCGTTCTATTATTTTGCTTAGTCACTCACTGATATATGTTCAATAAAGGTCGAAAAAACCAACATCTGTTGTAGTTGCTCCTACGGTATTCTTTTCAGGTGGCAAAAATCATCTTATCTGTTGATCTTGAAATGAAATACATGACTAATTTCAGTTCTAGTTTCTTCTAAAATCCTAATTTTAATTTTGTCTCTGTTCGAGTTTCTTTAATCTGTGCGTGTCACTCGGCATCTTCTGTGAGACATCTCACCTCCGTTATTATGATTTCGCACTCATTAGATTCAATAGGGACACGACTTAGATACCGAGAACGTAAAGTTGACCGAACCAGATTTTATTTGATTTGTTATGGTAGGCAAAAATATCCTGCTGTGTATCAGAATAGGCGCTAGATGTGTTAGTACCCTGTTTCTTTTTATACCTGGTAGAAATGTAAGTATGCGATACAGTTTATAGCAGAGGGATATTAATTCTTTAACGGACTTAGTTGGCTAGTGGCAGGATTACATTGTGTTAATACGGTAGATAACTCTTTGCCAATAGTTGTTATCTGAATCAGTACTCTGTACATTTCATTACGTCATTCAATTGAAAGATTAACTGGTGAATGAGACCTAAAGGACTTCCGCTGACTGTTGTTCGGTTTAGTGGTAGTTGTGGATTGTCTGAGAAATGAATATGTGAAGTTGGCAGTACATTTTAGCAGCAGTCTCTCCTGTGTCGGAGTCGTATGCTTAGTTGTTTTTAATGTATGTGTTTGCATATGCTGCAAATAATCTTTTGTTTCAAAAGAAACGCTTTCATGACACATTTAAGTCTTCACTCAAAACGTTTGGGATGAATGAAACCAATTGGGAGGCTGCCTCTCAAGACTGAAATGCATGGCGTGCAGCTCTACACAAGGGCGCGGTTACATCAGAAGCAAACAGAACAGCAAAATTGATTTTAAAAATGATGGACAGAAAGGCGACTGCAGGAGATCCCCTCGCTGATACACAGCTCATTCTCTATCCTGACTTTCCAAGAACTTTTGGGGTCTGCAATGACCTCATCGGTCATCTTCGTACTCATACTTGATGAAAAAAGTGGTCATCATCATCTTGATGGACATCACACACATAAACGTTATGTTCTCTCTAGGGCAACGACAGTAAAAAAAATGGCTATAGCTGTAGGTGCAAAGTGGTTAGAATTTAAAATAATTATTTATGGTAGACCAGTCAGTTCAAAAATAGTTCAACACATTTTTGAATATGAGCTTCTAAATCCCTTACTTATAAGTGAAAACATGAGATTCACATAAAACAGAAGCAAGAAAAGCAAATCGACAGCTTAAAACATAGTGAAAAAAAGGAAAAAACGTGTGAAGAAATGTCACTAACAATTGAAATCTGCAGGATTCATAAATCTAGAGGAACCTCTAATAACTTCGTGCATTCATTAGATATGATTATGTTAATTATGTGCATTGCCTCTATATATATTTTTTTCTTTCAAATCTAAGACATTTACACAATAAAAAATGTTTTTGTTTTTGAAGATAAAGAATACATACATGTATAAACAAAATTAGTATTACAGACTCAAACACACGCGCGCGCGCACACACACACACATACACACTCACACATACACACAGTCACACACACACACAAACACATATTACTCACAACTCTCATGCTTTGTTTAAACGGGTACATGTATTAAACAAACCTGCCCCATCGCACGGGCCAGCACTGAGAATTACACCAAGTATTAGAACTTGAACAAACCATGTCAGCAACATATCTGTCTCCGCCGTCTGCAACATTATAACATATGTTTAATAATTCCAATGATTTCTAGTTAACGAATAAACCATTTGAACATAACACATAGTTAATTTAGACGTTTCTGTTCTTAAATCCCTCAATCAAATTTATGAATGACACTGCCCATGTGGATTTCGGGTCTCTTTTTTGGAGAACAGAGTATAGGGCCACTGCCTCTACCCCACCCACCCCCCCCCTCTTTTTCCAACAAGCCTATAGTTAGGGCGACTAATAAGAGATATTTCCTACACAGTCAAGTTACGTCGACAGAGAGGCAAGGACCCAACAGGCTACATACAAATAAGCTAGATCTGTAAAACGGAAATGCACGCAAAACCCAAGTTCTAGATCAAGGCCAAAGTCCAGGAGTGAACGAACAATCAGAACTTTCCGCCGGAGTTTACAGCTAGTGAACGCTAAAAAGTATAAGAGATGTCATAAGATTCCATTGCGGACGCATACTAGTCATCACGTAACTTTTCAGTAATCTTGTATGAGATAGCTAATGTAGCAGTTATAAATGGTGTGTGTGTGAATGGTTTACTTCATACGGTACACCGTGCGATTATCTATGTCTGAAAAGGTGTCTTACACTGAAGAAACGTAAATCACCGTTTGTGTTTAGAAAATCTGTAGAGACTAATACCTATAGACATCTAGAATTATGTAGAGTGTAGATCCTTGCCAGTATGTAGAAAATATAATTAGGCGGTTTCATATACTGATAAGGAGAACTCATCTGAGGCCTGAGAAATTGTTTGTGCTGTCAACAATTTAGCCTATCGAGATAAGAGTGAAAGAAACATTGCTGGATATAAACTAATTGTTCACCATATCCCAATTCGTCTTAAACAGTCTGCACAGTATTAGTTTTTAGTTTTCAAAGAACCAACATTGTAATCTTTAATAAAAAATATTTCATGAGAAAGTTTGCCTAATTATATGCATCAAAATACACAAAAACAAATGTGTGTGCATTATGTGCAACAAGCTGGCTGACCAGTTGTGTTCGATTTTCGCCAAAAGCCTAGTTTATGCTATACATGGAAATATATTCTGGGAAGTAAAAGTGATTGACTGATTTCGATCAAATCAATGTTCAGCTACCGATTTGTCTTGACCAATATAGGACTACACCATATGCCTTAGTCAGAAACAAGAGAAGTTTACTAACTGCAATTTGCTCTGTTTTTTTTTTTTTTTTAATGCTTCATCACTGGAATTATTGTTGCTGTAGAAATCATATCTCAAAATTGAAAATGCACCAGGTAAAGGTCCTGTAAAACTAGTCCACTGTATGTATGTTTGTGGGTTGCACTCCAGCTGGACATCACACAGGAGATAAACACCCAGTGACACAAAGTGCCACCATGCGGATCAGTACACCCATGGAGAGGTCACAAAACCCCGTTCAGTCGTTAGGCCATGTTAAAGGCCCGGCTAGCCCGGCTCTCTAGCGTAGTTGGCTAAACCGGATTGCGCGGTGACCGGGTGACGAACTCCTTGTGGTCCGGGTTCACTACCGTGGGTAGGCAGAAAAGCCACATTTCCCCAGATTCACGGTATTTTCAATGGAATCAAGGCTGAAAAGTTGCGATATCCATAATACCGAGCCTAAGGGTTAACAATTAATGGCTTCAGAATAACTAAAAATGTCATCCCACAAAGGGATTACGAATATTAGTCCACAGTATAACCATTTAGCACAGTTAATTGGAGCGCCTACTGAACGGTTAAGAACGCTGGGCCCTCATGCGGTAGACCCAGGTTCGAATCCTAGTTGAGTTTCTGGATTTTGTGTGTCTGTAAGGGGCACAAATTATATCTTAACAAGCGCACTACATACGACTTTATTAAAAATTGGAGGGGGATTCGAGCAAATTATTAACAGACATGTGGATACAACATTAACTGACGTGTCTAAATCAGGTAGCCAATTGTAACTGCCTAAAAGAAGTCTAAGAAGAAGCCTTCATATAGTCTCATATGAATGAAACAGCACGAAGAGCGTACACACAGCACCTGCCTGAGTACACATTTTGAGATAACTTTTCTTTCCCGTAACAAAATACAAGGTCTGACAATTAAGTAATGAGACTAATTCCATAACAAAATTAAAACAATCAACAGTTGAAGATATAACCTGTATTTTATTTAAAGTAAGTCCATTGTGAATTGATACAGAAAGTAGCGCGATCTCACAAACACTGGAACGACTTCTGAAGTTCTCCTGTTGTT